GCGCCCTCTGTGGTGCCGGTGGACGCCGCGGCCCCACGGCCCGGCCCCAAGGCCCGGCCTTGCCTAACGCCTGGCTCCCGGCCGCGCTGGCGCTCGCTGGCGCTGCGCTGCTGCCCCAGTCCCACCCGCCCCGCCGAGCAGGCCAGGCCGAGCCCTGCCGCGCCCCCGGCCCCCCGCTCAGCGCGCGCCGTGCCGCGCCCGTGCCGCGCCGTGTCGTGCCGCGTGTCGCGCTGCGCCGTGTCGCGCCGGCCCAGGCCGAGGCCCAGGCGCAGCAGCAGCCGTGTCGCCCTGCCACACACACAATACAACAGAAAAAAAAAAATAAACACCGCCCTCTTGTCGCCGTTGTCGTGGTTCCCAGACACGCCGTCCGTCCGTTCGTTCGTTCGTCCGCGTCAGTCAGTGCCGTTCCGTCCGTGTGTCGTGTCGTGTGTCCGTCGTGTCCGCGAATGCGCGCGCGTGGTCGGCGTGTCGGAGGCGTCGTGTCGGGGGGCGTGGCGAACAGGCGCGCGGGCGCGCCCCGCGACCCGGTCGCGTGGAGCAGACCATGAGGCACTTGTTGGTCTGGAGGGCGTAGGCTGGCCCTGTCGGCGCAGGTGCCCGCCGGCGCCGCTGGTCTACATGACGTCCACGGTGAGTGTCTGACGGGCAGCTCCTCGTCGCGGAGGTGTCGGTGAACTATACAACACGCACGCAGTCGGACAACAGTCGATGCTCGTCCTTGTCTCTGGAAACGCACTGTACACAAACTATCAAAGGGCGACCTTTACGCCTAGTAACCCAAAGGTGAAACATTTCACCTTTTTAAGGTGTTGTTCAGAAAATTGGGTCTGTAATGCCGATGGTACTATGAATTCCGTTTGTAGGTGCGATGTCCTATTTCTGTTTTACCAGTGACGATTCAATCGGTGAACTTCAATGTAAAGCTCCGAAGTCATTTGGAATCGTTGGGATCGCCTGCTCGGATCGCGTGACGTGGCCTGGAGGACGGAGAGATCGCCAGGGGATCCCTTGAGTGCTGCGATATCCCTGTGAGGATCCCATCCCTCAAGGTGCCTTCGCCTCCCCTACGCTCCAGTTCAAAGACAAACTAGAAGAGGGACTGAAAAGGGGGGGG